CTGTAACACAGCCCTGGTGAGAAATACTATTGGAAGGCTTCCTCAGTGTGAAATTTCACCTATATAAAAATACTGTTGACAGGCCAACTGACAGATGGCTGTTGAAATACCATCTTTCTTTGTTCTCATTTTCCATGAGAAGCTTTAAGACTGAATCTTCCTACCAGATTTATCATTAATGCACTATAATCCCCCAACAAAAGAACCAACTTTTCTGCTGCAGATTAATAGGCATATTCTATATCGTATGATACTCCTCCTGTGCTGAGGCCATCTTGCTTAACAGGCAGCTGTATTAGAAACATTTGCTGCAGTTAATTGAAAAGTAATCACTGTAAATGCACCGAGTCAATTCAGGACTTTTGTAGAATCACAGAATGGCTTGGGTTGGAAGGGACCTTAAAGATCACCCAGTTCCATCTCCCCTGCCATGAGCAGGGACACCTTCCACTAGACCAGGTTGCTCAGAGCAATCCAACTTGGCTTTGGACACTTCCATGGATGGGGAGCCACAGCTTCTCTGCACAACCTGTGCCAGGGCTGCTCTCGACTTGTTCATCCCCCCAGCCTGGATTAATACCAATGTTTGATATTGATGCTGTAGAGATACCAATATATTATAATTCATATTTACAAATTCTTTCAAATAAATGACACCTAAACAGAAAAGAAGGAGTCAATCCATAAGTTTCTACTATATTATAATCAATAGTGTCAAAAGTGCGTCAGTTTTAAAGGTATTAATAACCAAAAGAATATTTTTTAAAAATTCAGAAAATAAAATTATGCTTTAAGTAATCTCGTACTTTGTAAATAAATAGTATGGATAGGCAAATGTTTTCATTGAAGAAGTATGTTAAGAAATCAAGAGCAATAGAGATCTTAAATCTGACACATTGCTATGCTGCTTTAGTAACCCCCCTGTTATCCATTCTGGAGGTTTTTTGCATTTTGGTGACAGGATCTATTTGTTGAGGCACTATAATATCACACTCACTGTCACTTCGAAAATAATCAGCCACACAGCATCACTTTTATAATTAATTCCTGACTTCAGTGAAAAATGTGATCTCGTCTATGACACAATCCATAACAATTATAACCTTATTTTGGAATTAATGAATTTTCCAATTCAAGCCAACCAAGTTTGTAGGTATATTCCAACAGTCGGATCTGATTATATTGCCTAGCAGAGAAGTGCCCAGTAAGCTTTCTGAGGAGTAGCAGTGTTCTTCATGACTATTCCAAAGTTTGCAGTGTTTTAACTCAGTAGTAAGCAACAAAGCCAATTGTACATATTTATGTATGATTACATATTGTGTTACCACACTAAGAGCCACTTGCACCTTCTGTAATTTTCTAAGTAGAAATCATATACAAACAGGATTTATCAAATGCACCTAAATCCTACTGACAAAACCAAGCACCAGACACTTAAAATATAACTCCTAACTTCCTTTCATAATCATTCACTGTTGACATCTATATTTTTGCAACCTCTCTTAAAAACAACAGCTGCTGGTCTAAAGCTATTTGTGATGTATGATCTGCTACTCAAGAGCAAAAAATACATTAGCTAATATTAAAATTTAAACTTCTCGCAGAACAGCAAACCAGAGGAAGTTTTAAGGAAGAACTGCTGGGAGGAGGCAAACCCAGTTCTAACAATAGAAATGTCAGCCTTTAATTGCAGCAGAGCACCTGTTGCACCTGACTCCTTGTGAGCTGCTCCTGCAGGTGTTCACCTACATGGAAATGAGCAGTCCCAGTGCCTTCCCTCAGCTACTCCCATTCAAAGATAACCACGATGGCTCAATAGAGCATCAGAACCATCCACAGCTGGCTGTCCAAAAGCTGTCTTCAACCTTTCTTAACTCCCAAACTCAAGTTTAATTAACTCAAGCTTACTGCCAGCTTGACCCCGTGGCACAGCATTTTCCTCCCTGGAAACTTGCACTCTGCAGGCTCAGAAAACAGGAACTCAAAGCTTCTTCAGACCTGTCACAAGTTCACTGTGAAGTACTTTAAAGCAGCACCTGTAGCAGCAAGAAGTCCAGGAAGACAAAGCAATAGGGGTGTCCACAGGAGAAATGTCTCTGAAAGCAGCAGTAAATGATGGCAGAATATGCCCCAAATCTACAAATTGATGCTTCTACCTGCATCTCCCACACTGACAGTTTGACACAGCCCTGGGAAAAGAACAGGATGGAAAAGCTGCTCACTTCCCCAGGTGTGTAATAGCTCTGTTCAGCCTTCTAATGGACAAACTAGAAGTTCAGCTCTTCAGTTAAATTGACTGTAGCAGATTGGGTCTTAGCAATTACTACCAAAACTTGTACTAAGCACAAGGTATTGCAAGGGTTTTCTCCTGTTCTTTGGTGTGAGACAATTGACCACAAATAGTCTTCTTCAGTGCAAATTCAGCCTGAAATCTGAGAATCGGGCCAGTTCTCTCATTTCTAATATCATCACAAGTAATAAAAATATCCAAGTCAAATTTTACCATCAGCTATACTGTGCATTCCAAAAAAAATTTAAAAAAACAAGTAACCCCCTGTTTCCTAACCATCTGCACAACAGCAGTCAGCTTTTAATTGTGTACTTGCAGAGAGGATAAAAAATTGTGAACGATGCACAGATACAGTAGTCTGATATTTTCTTGAGTCACTACAGCAAAACATTTTTGTTAGTAAAGAAAATAATGCAAAGTAGATACACCTAATGAGGACTTCTCTTTGTATAGGAGTTTTCACTACAGGACATTTCATCACACCACTATAAATACATGGTTAAGAGGTGAACACAGAGAAATCGCTTCATCCACTGCTGGGATGCAGCAGATATTTAACATTTCTTGGAAAAACTCTGCTCTGAGGAGGACTGTACCATCTCTATTTGAAACTGAAAGGACAATTCAAGTAAGTAGAATAATATAATTATGTAACTTGGGATTTTGCCAGACCATCAAGCTTAATACTTCATGAAGCTTCTTAGAACACTGAAATGGATGTTTAATAACCAGAAAAGCTCAGGACCTTTACTCTAAGGTCTCGCCGGGGCTCCTGTGCGGTGCTGGGCAGGGGCGTTCGCAGGCAGAAGTTGTTCCTCCCGCACCGGGTTCCTCCAGCTGCTCCTCGCTCCCTCCTCGATTAACTCGCCCTAACTGACAATCACACTGACTTGAAGAGCCTGAAATATTTAACAAATAAGCTGAGGCAAGAGAATGACCTTTTCTAACAGGATATGCTGACCTTTGAGCGTTGTAGAAAGCATTTAACATTCAAACACATAGCACTAAACCACAAGGAAACCAGAACTTCACCTCGCACAGTCATGTTCGACACTGTAGTGAGCTGCCCTACTCCTTAAGCAGACGGGATCGCTAGTTGCAATTATGCACATGATTTACAGTTTGCAAAATCTGTTGGGTCTATGGAGTGGTTTCCAAATCGCTTCCACACGGTGCTTGCGCGCGCGGGGCACCTGCAGGTTCAGATCTGCATCACTGTGCGGGACCGCGATGGGGAGAAGGGAAGACCTGACTTTAGTGGAGAACGGGACCTCCTTCGTGCTGGAAGCGGGGCCGGAGCAGCTCCCGGGCCCGGGACACCCGCACGGCAGCTCCTGAGGGCCGGGCCGGGCCGGGAGCTCCTGCCCCCTGCGCAAACCTTTAACACGCTCCGCGCACATCCCCTCGTTTCAGTACTTCTGGAGGTTGAGCGAAAGCTCTCAGTTTCTCCTAATCGGCAATTCCAGGGAGGAGACATCCTGTAGGAAATACCCAGCGATACTTCAACCGGTGCTGCCTAAGGGAGATTTGAAAACATCTCTAAGGGACTAACATGTGTTGCTGTAATTTTACATGTAGCCTATGGGTACTACAGCCTTTCGCGGCCGTGCTCCCGGCTCTCGCCCTCACACTCCTCCATCGCCAGCTCGGGGAGCCCCCGCGGCGGGATCCGCGGGCCGAGACTTCTCCCTCCCCGCCTGGCGCCCGGGGGTTCCAGACATCCCTTTCCCCGACATCGCCACCTGCCTCCACCCCGGGCCCTCTTTTTAAGTAACGTGTCCCCTCACAAGCTAACCCGATGTGATGGATAACCAGAGGGACGGGAGCCAGGGCAGGCAGCAGGCTAAGTGCGCCTTTTTATTAACTTCTTGTAAAGTAATAGCTCCATTTTAGCTGTCACTCCTGTCAAACAACAGCCGCACAATAGCGTGTGATGGGCTCTTCCCGGAGCCCGAGCCGCAGGCAGCGCACAGCACACTGCGGCCAGGCAGGCACCGGGCACGCCGCACTGCCGGGGCCGTGCGGGCTCCCTGCCACGAGCGAGGGGGCGAGGGGGAGGGACGGGAAACGAGGGGAAGAACCGGGTCCCTTTTACCCCACCGGGAGCCCACTCAGATCCCAAACAAAGGCCGGCAGCCAGGATTCAGGCTCGTCCGAGCCACCGTGTCCTGGAGAAGGGCCGCACGGCTCGCCCCCTCCGCCCTGCCCGCTCTGCGGGGCACCGCAAAAACGGGAAAATCCCGGCGGACGGAGAGCAGGAGGGGCCTGGGACGTGAGGCTCGCCGGGGAACCGGGGCGGCGGACCGCGGCGGTGCCAGCCCCGGCTCCCCGTGGGGACGGGGCGAGCACGGCTCTTGCCCCAGCGCCCCCTCCTCGCTGCCCGGCCGAGCGGGAGGAGCCCCGCAGCCCCGCCGGCTGCGGCTGCTTGCGGGGCTCCGCGGGGGGCGGGCACATGCGTACAAGCGGCTCAGCCAGGCAAACACCCCTCACATCTTAAATGAGCTTCATTTGCCGGCAGCCGCTCCAGTCGGGCTGGGAGCTGCCGGGCTTCGCTCGCAGCGCCTGGCGGGGAGCCCCCCGGGGCGGGCCCGCCCCGACGGAGACCCCCGCGCCCCGCTCTCGATGGGACTGAGCGCGGCGGCGGCTCCGCGCTCGGGCGGCGCGGGCGGAGCGCGCCCCGCGGGGGCGCCGGGCATGGCCGCGGGCGGGCGGGGGCCGAGCCGGAGCCGCGGGCACAGCGCCCTCGCGGGGGGCCCCGCCGCGGCCATGGAGCGCCGCTGATCGCCGCCGATCGCCGCCGGGAGACAATGGCCCTGCACAAACTCTGCTCCGTGCTCGAAGGTAGGAGCCGCGGGCGCCGCGGCGCCCTCCGCGGGAGCAGCTGCTCGGAGCGGGAGCCGCGGTACCCCCGGAGCCGCCCGCCCCCTCGGCTGCCCCGCGCTGCCCCCGCCGAGCGCCGGCGGAAACTTTGGAGCCAGGGGCGCGGGGGTGCGCAGGGGCGGCCGCTCCGCTGCTGCTCCTGCTGGAGCTGCTGCTCTGGAGCAGCTGCCCGACCCCCGCACCGCGTCCCTGCGGGGCGGCCGCGGTCCGGGCCCCGTGTTGGTGCGGGGCGGTCCCGGTCCCGCTCTGCCCCAGCGCTGCGGCCGCTCGGGGTTCGGCGCTGGGGCGGGCGCTGCCGGGAGCCCATCGCGGGGCCGGGCCGGGGCCCCGCTCCCATCCCGGGCTGCTCCGGCCCCGCTGGAGACGCCTCGGTACCTCGGTTGGGGGAATCCCAGCCTGCAGGAACGTGGGTCAAAGGGGCAGCGACTCTGCCCCAGCGCCTCGTATATTCCCAAGACCCATCAACAGCATCCTGCGTTACGGTCTGTTCGCTGTGAAAATACTCCTTCTGCTTTCGGAACTCTCCTAACGAGCTGCCCAGCAGTGATCAGCTCATCACACTTGTTTTATGGAGCGAGATCTGTTTTCAGCAGGGCTTTCACAAAATCAGTCGCCACCTGAGTCACAAGCTGGCTGACCGGTATTGACCTGTGCTTTTCTTCTTGAGGCTTTTAAATCTTGTTTCTAACTTCTTTCGGTTGAGAGGTAAACAACTGAGGAAGGCTCGTCATCAGAGCATTTCTTTGTCTGTGCTGTTATTTATACAGCTCGACAATGGGCGAGGGTTTTCTGTTAGAAAATAAAGCTGGATGTGGCAGTTAACCTTGTGCCTCAAGGGATTATTTCTACTATTCTGTATCTACTTGAGCAATTGCAGACTTGATAGCGATGCAAGTCTATTTTTTATCAGGATTATTATTATTAAATTATTCTGTTAGGAAATTTTGGCGCGACCGTTTGCATTACTGAAGCCATCAAGGCATTACTGCAGGGTGGAGAACTGTTTTGATTATGCACTGACGTCTTCCCACGGTATGAAAGTTGTAAAGAAGTCTGTTTCAAATCCAGAATGTTTCCGTGGCCCATAAAATCCCGTGTTCCTTAACTGAAGGATGTATGTCTTTAGGTTTAAATAAATATTTTTCGTTTATTAGCATAATAACTGAGAGACAGAAGTTACTTGCTGTCAATAAATGTCTGGCTCTCTATATAGGTGTTAACCATCCACTGAGTTCAGACAACACAGGAGCATAGGGCTTACATGGGGAAGACAAGGCATTTAGATATTTTTCTCCTGCCTCTTTTAAGTAACATATTTAAATACTCTAAGTCAGTATATGACATATCTACTACTTAAATACTTTCTAGATATGCAGATTTACTCACATTTCAGAAACTTGTGATTGCTGCAAATTTGACTGTACAGGTTTTCTCCTGAACAGGCCTATATATATATATTTTTATAATCACACTAGTGTCCAGGTAAAAAGTCCCTCTGCAGGAAGTTTTTTGTATTATTCAGAACCTATAAATTGCACAAAGCCATTAGTCAATAAGCTGTTAGTATTCTAAATGCATCCCTTGCCATGACTACAGAAACAACCTATCATTACTTAGCATCATGCACTGCCTTTTATCTCTGCTTCACCAGGAGTCGTCACATATTCCGATTATTACATTTCGTCAGACACAAAAAAATGTATTCCCGTAGACAGACATATAGATTTAATCCCAAAAGGAGACTATTGGGAATAGAATTCAAAGTAACCTTCCTTATTTTACAAGTTGCATCTTAAATTTAGCGTGGAAGCTCTACCTACAGTGGCAGTAATTTTTAATTTTCTTTCTCCATACAAATAGCTTTGTCTGCAGAACTGGGGGAGTTCTGCTAAACCACGTACAAAGTACCATGAGCTCAATATATCATTATAAGTCACATTTCAGTAATACTTAGAAACAGTTTAGTCATCTGTTCTTAGTATGGAATGCATATCTACATTTGTGTCATCCACAGAGGTTATATTTTGTGACTGTATAACCTCAGGGCAGAAGAGAGCCTGTCATACTCACTTTGTGGCAATTCAAATTTCTTATATTAAGCTTGTTCAAAACTACTCTATGATCTTCCTCAGCTATCAATAATAAGGGCTGATTTAAATGAATGTCTCTGTCTGTAGTATTCAGCAAAACTTTTCAAAGTCTCATCCTGAATCCCATCATCTTACATGGATTATTTGCTCTCATCCAGATGTGCCAGTGCTGAGAGGCAGTGATGGTGGAGCTCAGCAGCTCTGAGGCTGCAGTGGCTGCAGGTTTTGCTGAGTGGAGCCCAGCCAATGCCCACCTGCTTTCTCAGTGGTGTCTGTAACGTCCTGGAGGCCAAGGAGCTTTGCTGCTTTTGGGTTGTTGAAAGACAAAGCCTTTTTCTCCTGTCTTCAGTTCTCACTGAGATTTTAAACACACTGGAATTGGTCCCCAAGCCCTGGAAAATGCACCTGCTCTGCAACAATAAAGCACTATAACCCTCTACTTCTTCAGAGAGAAAAGCAGCTGCTTTCTTGATAAAGCCACGTTCCTGTTATGCTTTTGAAGCAAATACACCCATCTTGGATTTCCTCAAATCTGGGATTCCTCTAAAATGTGTTTGCTAAGAACTTGTTCACATTCTTCAAATATACTCCCTCTTTCATTTGCCTATGCTATTATCTGGTTAAAAAACCCTAAAAATCGTAAGTTAAATCCTTACTCTACGTTAGTTTTGGACTACTTCAGCTAGTACAGTTGGATTAATTTAAAAGGTAAAAAAAGAGAGGATATTCTCTCTAAAAAGAGAATTTTGTAGTTTCTTACCCAATAATTCAAGAAGCAACCAGGGCTAGAACAAATTACTGCTACTTCTGGAAAGTCAGCGTTCACAACCTTCCAATGGGCTACAGGATTATTTCCAACTCTTGTCAGGTTGCAAGAATGTGGACTACTATGATTAACTTCCTGCCATTCTGCTCAGCCTCCTCATTTGCATTTTGACATGATTTTAACAGCTAATTTCTCACAAACAAGTAGTGTTAGGAAGTCATGCTTACTTCCACACAACAGTTAGAAATTATGGCCACTTCTTTCCAAAATCAAAAGGTGTAATATCGACCAAAAAAGCTAAAACAAGCAGGGGAAAAAAATTGAAAATCTGTTAATAATTTCACAATTTGTTCATTGAAACCAAAAGCAAAGTACTGACTGAAGAGGGTAAAGTGACTCTACTGAAGGCAGCATCAAGTGCAAGTCAGAATTTCATTTTTTACATAATAAACAGTATCTACTTGCAGAGTTTTCTGCTGTACTGGAAAAAAAGTGAAGCACCAAACCACTGGCACTGCTAAGGAGTTAAGCAGAAGTAACTTAAGTTTAACTGTGGAACAGGATTCAAAAAGCTGCTGTGTTCTAAGGAGAGTATTTGGTGGTGTGTATTATGTCTTGCTCCTAATACACATACAAACTTAATATCCAAAATGCACCCCTCAGCAGCATGACTTCAAAAACATTAACTCCCCAGTTTTCCTAAGACATAGTTGACCATGACTGCTAAAATTGTACAGAACAAGTTGGTTATAATTACATTGATATTAATAGAAAGTTTCAGTGTATAAATCAGGTATATGGCTGTAGCTGGAGTACAGAATAACACAGGATTGAAGCTGAAGGAGCTGCTGAATTATGTATCCCTAGGTAATGAAAAAGTTAAGATCTTCAGTGTCTTCCCTAAGGTTTAATTCACAAGGAGAGATTAGACAGAAAAATTACCCCCAAAGTGAAACTTCATAAGCTATTCATCACTTTTGAACCTGTCAGAAAGTCACAGTGTAATTCATTGCAGGAATGAAGAGAGCTGATAATTGCACATACTCTTGTGCACAGAGTTTACATACAAAACAAATCCATCGCTTGATGTATAACCCATCTGGACTGAAACAAAATTTTAATTATGGTGTCTTGGATTCAAGTTGGGGTTCTAGTGCTGCAAAGAAGCCTGCTGCCTTTGTGCCTTGTATATTCCAATTTGTTAGTTTAATTAATGAAGCACTTACAGTCTAGGACAACTTAAACAGCTTGCTACCTTTAAATAGCTTGCTGCCTCTCAATATATGACTGGCAACTGCCACCTCAAGTACTGCAAGAGATGGGGGTTGGGGAGTGTAAATTTTTCAACAAACACCCATCAGGTAACTTTAAATGAAAAAGAATCTGCATTTCTTTTAGCTTATCTTTGTGCTGCACTCCATTTTCTGTTATTACAAAGCTGACCCCACTATGCAGCAGAAAAGGTTGGCCAATATGTTAACAAACCTCCAAAACCTCCTTCTTTAGCATACAATAAAATTGGTGAACACAAAGAAGCCTCTTTTGAAGGGACTAAGGGTGAGGAGGTAGAAAAAAAAAATTAATTATACTGTGTACATAAATTGTTGCCAGATGTGACAGCAGACAGCAAAACTTTTAATATTCATTTCATAATAGACATTCCTGAGAAGATTTCCTCTGAAAAATATACTATATTGATAATAAAGAAGATGAAGTCTGATGAGATTTTAAGTCCAAAGTATCACTATCCAAGTGCTCTAGGAACAAGTTATCTCTTGGAAAGGTGTGTTCAGAATAGTCATGTACAGCAGCATCAGTTCTGTGAGCTACAGGGGAATCATCTGAACTTGAAGTCAGTGTATATATTTTAATAAGGTTTTTTAAACCCCTCATCAACATGGTTTGCACATGCAGCCTTCTCATCAGTCTCTTGCTGCACACATCTTAGAGATGAAAAAAAAAGATCTTCCATATAAAAAGGAAAGCTTCTATTTTAAAAATGAAAGCTATCATTCTTCTGGCAGAAGTTTTGCTGGCAGACAGACCCAGGGATGGATTATAACTAACAGGATGTGGAGCAACTGGTAAAATGAAGCAGCCCACAG